GTTCTTAAATCCACACTGCAAAATTTACTCCTTGGAGATTTAATATTCATTTTCCTTCTATGTGGGACTGCAGACCGTGATGGCAACGATACAAATGTAATCCACACTGCAAAATTTACCCCTTGAAGATTTTATATTCATATTCGGCGCGGCACTGCAGACCGCAGTAGCAGTTCGATTTAGTGCCAGGCCTTTTCAACTTCTTATTCAAAAACTACGGGACTGCGGACCGCGGTGGCAGTCCCTTTTACTGCCTTTCCTTCACAACTTGTATTTAACTATGGGACTGCTGGCCACAGTGACAACACTTTACTGCTTGGCCTTTTCACCTTCTAATTCAACAACTAGGGGACTGCGGACTGCAGTGGCAGTCAGTGTTAATGCTCTTCCTGCTCAACTTGTTTTCCCAAACTATGGGACCATGGTGACAGTATGCTTACTGCTAAAGTAAGAGTAGAATTCATAGATGTCGACTTCGGGACCTTGGTGCCAAGGTTAAATGGTAATGCTTTCAGCTGGATGGTAGCCTGCGAGCAGGTTCACGTTGGAGCACAAGCATGCGTGGCATAGCCGCGTGAGCGAAATTGTGCGGCGAAGCCACGAGACGATAAAGTGAGCCTGTTCTGATCTCTGCAATTTTTTTTATTTCTACCCCGGAAACCGCAGAAAAGAATAAGTCAATTGATTTTCACCGGAAGTATGAACTTTGGCAGCTCAGATTTCTCGGGAAAATTGTAAATCTTTTTCATAACAACATGTTGGCGCGATATCTGTTGTTGATAAAGTTTTGCCGAAGAAAAAGTGTCAAAGGTTATGTCTACTGAGGAAACACACTTGATTCCAAGCGATCTTGCTTTGGCAGTCTGGTCTATGACGATGCTGGTAAATGGGCAAACGCCTTCATGTTGTTTCGTTGTCCGCTTGCAATCACATACGTTTGTAATATTTAACTCTTCCCATATGCAGTTGGCAACACGACAAGTATGTCTTAATTCATTAACATACTTTCAAGTGCTATTTCCTGCTGCCTCTTTAGTTTGAAATTTAACCAGAAATAGACTGGAACTTGATTAACACATCAGTAATACGTGCACTCAACTCTTCCTCTGACTCCAAATGTGGATGACTTGTTTTTATTGTGCAGTAAATTACTAACTTGATGGGGATTTAATCGCTCCTCATCAAACATAATAGATTGACAGTTTTCTTGCCTTTCCCGCTTTTCAACCAATGGTATTTCACTTCGCTCAGATGAAGCAGGAATGAAAAAATTACAGAGATCAGGGCAGGCTCACTTTCTTGTCGCCTCTTCACCAGACTCCTTCCCGCCGGATTGCTTTGCTCTTCGCCGCTCGCGCGTGTGACTCAAAGGTGAGCCTGCTCGCAAGCTACGTGTAGCTGGACGGGTATTCTGTTACTGCTCCCAGAAATCAAGGGAACAAAACATTTGACAGGGTTATCTTTGGTTGTGATTTAAGACAAAGACGCCTGAGTGAAAATCTGAAAAGTACAATTGTTCCTTTCACATTCGGGCCTCTGGGAATTAACCTTTAAAAGAATTAACAGGATGGAAACTTGGAAGAATCCAACCCGGCGGAATCTAAATTTCAGAAGTAGAGGGCCTGTCGGAATCGAAATTTCAGAGTAAGGGGCCTGTCGGAATAATGCCCTCCATAGCGGGTGAACGGATAAAAAATGGAATGTCCCATTGTTTTTAAAGATGTGAGCTNGGGGGTGCGGATAAAAAATGGAATGTCCCATTGTTATTAAAGATGTGAGCTTACCTTAGCTTGTTGTGGCCACTGTCTGTCGATGTCACAGCTACAAGTAGCTACAGCGAGCTACAGCTGGTCGCGACGCATGACTGAATCGTGAAACAAACGTGAAAGAGAAAGGTTGATACAGAAAACCTTTAGGTTTCAGAAAAAACATCAATTACTCTCACAAGTAAAGCATTAATATTATTAGTCCCAGTGACAGCTGAAAGTACTTACACTGAACCAAGCATCGACGCTTACGACGCCTCTCCGGTCAGCGTGGAAAGTGTGACAGGTGAAGTGACCAGCGGTTTTTATAAACAGGGAATCACGTGATTAGAGGGAGTGAGCAAGGAAGTTTCCTTCCTGCACAATCGAGGCTTTAGCATTCTTTCACATTTCAGAGCTTCACGTTTTTCAGATCACAAAAATGTGGAAAGCAGGGGTTGACACGAAAATGAATATCGGTGGTGGAGATGACGATGACTGGGAAACTGATCCTGACTTTGTAGTGAGTGTAATAATTCAACTGTTGTATATTCACTTCCTCTGTAGGTTTCGAATATCAACTTGACTTTTAAAAGTCCACTAAGCGTTCTACACATCCTATAGACAATAGATGTACTCGATCTTACACTGTATCGATTGAATCACGCTTTTTATCCTTTTCCTTTAGAACCACCTTGAAGTTTGAGACCTTCATCTCTTTAGCTTCACACAACGCTCATGTCTCATAGTGAGCTTTTATTATAATTATGCTCAATTATTTGTTTTCTCGACAATAGCACTTTTGTGCCCTTATGATGCATTCTGATTGGCTTACGGATATGCTTGCATCTCAAAATGCCTTATGAAGGTTGTCAGAAAACTACATCTTCCCTAAATGAAATGCAAAATAGCCTTATAGGTGGGCTTGAAACAGTTTTTTTGGGAGTAGAGCCATTTCAATGCAAAAAAAGAGTTAAGAAATAGAGTGTATTTACAGTGGCAGATCTAGGGGAGGGGTCCGTGGGGCCCAGGGGGCCCGTCCCCTTATTTTGGGTAAAAAAAGAGAAAAGGAAGGAAGAAAAAAAAAGCCGGCAGAGCAAGCAAAAAAAACAAAACAAAAAAAAAC